AAATAGGCATTGTGATGTTCATGATATGCTAATTACGAAAATAGCCTAAGTCTATTTCCTGTTGCGTCACCATTACATCTGCTAGCCTGCTACGCAGATCGTACACTGAAGCTGCTTTTCAGGTGTCACGGGGCCAAGATGGAGTCGCCTCACTGAGAGGAAGAAACGGTTGCATGTCACGTTTCCTCCCCACACGAGCTGCCGGGGAGTTTGCATTTCAAGAGAAGAGTAACGGGAGAAGAAAAGCTAATCAGAACGAGCTTTTTTTTCCTTTTGATCCCTACTCTGCTGAGGCGGCTTTTCTTCTCAAAAAAAACATTTGTTGCTTTCACTCAGCCTCTGCAAACACTTGAAACCCCATTACAGACCATGTGACAGCATCGATTAAATTCACAATTATCAGGGGGCAGTGACACTACAGTATGAGAGCGTGTAGCAGCGCAGCGTCGTGTGTGTGTGTGTGTGTGTGTGTGTGTGTGTGTGTGTGTGTGTGTGTGTGTGTGTGTGTGTGTGGTGTGCGTGTGTGTGCGTGTGTGTGTGTGTGTGGGGGGGTGTGGGGGTGTGTGTGTGTAAAGGGTGTGATCTGCGTGCATGTGATAAAGAGCGAGCGCTGATAGGGGAAAAACTCTGGATATTTTAACGCTAAAAGGTTTCTCACGTTTTTGGCGACTTGTGATCCAGAACAACTCGTTTGCAAAAACGACTCAGATCTCAAAGAGATTAAAAAAAAATAATATTTCAAGGGCTCCTTTCTCGGTTTTTCTTTATTGTCTGGTTCTTTTTAGGTTTACTCTTTTTCTCTCTATTTGTTTAACAGAGAAAAGAAAAAATTCACAGCGACTGGAAATTCAACCACCGGCTTTTCCTCGTATTTGACCCCATAATTCATTATCAGTTTAACAAAAGATTACTTGTCTCCCGCTGACATCACCAGATAAGAGCCTTGGCTCTTGTTTCCAGCTTTAGCGGAGATTTATTCAGACTGGGAAAACAAACAATAAGGCTGATTAAGACACGCAACAGAATCGTGGCGATGAAAGAAGAACGTACGAACAACGTCCTTGTTCCGCATCCAAGACCAGACGGCTGAGTTCAGGTGAAAAAAGCTTCGCGACCCTCAAGCGACCGCGTTTGCCATTGACCGAACTCGCTTGGACCCGTGCTGCTGCATCTGGCCAGATGGAGGCGTTCTGCCCTGACGAGGCAGCTGGGATCAGAGCGCCATCACTGTAACTCTCTCCATTAAAGCACAACCGAGGCGCCAACAGTGAAGGGGAAGAAAAAACCAAAACAATGGAGAATGTTTACATTGATTTCTCTACCTATAGAGCCAACGCTACAGCAGAGCTGAAGATTAAAAATTCATAAGCGTATTAAAGTCTATAAGAGCATTATTCATGTGTGCTGTCACTGCGCGCTACAGCGAGGTACTAATCGGACACATCTCTGAGCGGGGGCACGCACGAAAACACATAGTCACAGCAGAGGTCTGGGAACTCTCCCAAGTGTCGACGCCGCCGTGCGCACATGTGTGTGGCCTGGCATGGTTCCCTCCTTGAGTACCCTACAATGTGCTGGCGCCAATACCTGCTTGACACAGCAGATTGGCACTAATGGCTTTACACACAATGCCATCTGTAAGCTGGACTGCTGGCGCGAACGTCTTCTCCAAGCCCCACTGCATCGCCGCTTTCCTACATATTTTGTGTTGAGCTGCTGAAACGAGGCAGTGCAGGGCACAACATCGGGCTCCTGAGAATGAAGCGAGTTGGGAATGTGGCAACGCTCTTGGGAAAACTTGACATTGTTTTGTTTTCGCAAATGGAGTGAAGGCTTCCGAAGCCTAAAACTATTTAGGAGATCATCTTTAATGAGTGTACAACCTACCAATCCAGGGTTAGCTAATATAAAAGCAGTAGTTTATATATTAGCTTTTGCTTATTTTGAAGCAGGTTTTAATGGCTGAAAAAGCGCAAAAATGCTTCTGCTGTTTGCTTGTGCAGACAGAATAAGGCATTCGTTAATCTTATAGGGACAGTGTTTTACAGTGTTTTACAGTGTTTTACAACCATATAACTCTGTTACCTTCAGTTGTTATACAAATTATATATTAAATATGACTTAAGACATTCAACTTCACAAAACCAGCGCCTTGAAATTGGGTCTCTTTAAAAATTCAGCCCTTTTATAAAATTCCTCCATTGGGAAGTCATCACGACATTGCTCCTCTTCTAACCTTTTAACAAAGTTTTTACCAGTGCTGCATTGAGACGTAACTGATGTAACGAGCTCAGCTGACGCACAAATCCACCAGAGGTGTTTGCTAATTGCTGTTGGCTAGTCTGAAGGAGCAGAGTGGGTCTTCAGGGAGGGCTTCTCTGTGAAGCTGGAAACAGCTGCGTTGTGTTGATAGTGATGGTTAATAAAGACAGCCTCCCATTGGTGGACAATAACCGGCTACTTTTACCAATAACTTATATCAGCCACCATTTTGGCTACTCAGTAAGATGCACCAGCAGCAGCAGGTTTATTTGATCATAGTAAAATAGTTCCTTGATTGTGCCATAAAATGGTGCTATGTGTCTGAAAAGTACATAAAACGTCCATTAAGAAAATAGTAGTGTTGGTTGTTGCTTTCAGTTACAATCAAGTCATGGGTTTAACTCAACGACTGCTTCCTGTTTCAATTCAAAGTAAGAGTCTCAATCACAGACACGGGGCGTTCAGTTTGCAGCACATGTCTTCACATGAAGGACTCATGATAATAAGTCAGACTTATTCCAACAGGCAAACTTCCAAATCTGATGGCAAGAAGGAAAAACTTCAGTTCGACCAAATAAGATTTTGTTGAGATCGAGTAGAAGGAGATTTCTTCACAGTCTCAGTTCAGACCTTTATCAGTCACGGCGCAAAAGAAGCCAAATTGAATGTTAGCTAAACGGCAGGGAGGCCGGATAATTCAGGTCGCGTTCGTATGTGGGCAAGGGGGAACCAAGACCTAAAAATACAAAAGCAATTTGTGCCTCTTTGTCCACGAAAGTGCGAGACGCGTCCCACTGTGCCGAGAAGCTCATAAACAGCAGCCCGCCTTAAAGTACTAACACTTACACAAACACACTTCTCGCTCTCTGTGGCTTTCTGCAGCCCGCAGCAGTCACACAGGGATCATTACTATTCATTTGCTGAGCAAACTGGCCACACAGGCTTATAAATTAGCTCATCTACCGCAGCTGGGTTCAGAGACAGTTGGTGCATGCCTGGGACTGGGAGGCCAGCCATTACAGTGCCCGGCTTTCGAGACACCTTCTGTCCAGTCGACGTGACCTCCCCGAAGCTCGTAATTTTTTGGAAAGAGGAGAGAATGTGTGGCGGTGGAGCCGGGCGGTGAGACAAGCCCGGTCAATGAGTGCAATAAATTGCGGAGCCGTAGGACCACGGGGCCCCCCGCGCGCGTCGAGCAAAGGAAGAGCGCGGCAGGAGAACGCCGTCAAACCGAGCGTAAATCAATCTGAATGAAACATCATAAGCAGGACCTTAAAGACCGACAGGGAGGAGAGCTGACAGGTCTGACCTACAGGAGCATGAGGGAACACTCTCTGCCTGGGAGGGAGGATCAATGGCGGGAGATGGGGGAGGGGAAACAAAAATCAACCTATTAATTCAACCCGACATGTCAATTCCCTTTGGCGTGTGCAGATTGGTGCTGATCACGACTACGCTCTTGGGCAGAAGAGGTCTGGGGCTTTTGCAGAGCCTCAGTAGACCATTGATTCATGGAACATTTTACGACTACCTGGAAGGCACCGCGTCGCAGCCGAGGAATGTAAATCATTTCCAATTGCAGGGTTATGGCGATGCACAAGCAGGAAAAAAAAAAAAAAAACTCGAAGCGTGACTCTGGGATTGTATTACACTAATCACCTTCGGTGTGAGGACTGCAAGAGAGACGATCTCCTGAGGTTAACTAAGCTACATAAAATACCCGAGTGGAATTTTTATACAATATTCATAAAATTGTTCGCAGCATCTGGGCAATAAAAGGTGAATGAAGCCTCTTCTTGGTTTTGGTTTTCGCTTCAGCATATTTTCAGGTCCTGCATATTCACTAGTTACAAAGAACCATGGGCCGAGCAGCAAACCGGGCCGGAGGGATCCGGGTCAGAGGCAGGGAAGCTGGTGTGAGTTAATGCAAAGACCGTTGGAGGTAATAAAGTGCAATCCCAAAGGAAAAACCTGGTAGAGCCTGGAAACAATTCGGGAGGAGGTTTGCCCTCCATCTGGACAAAAACCTTATCTATACTGTTGAAATAAATTGACCGATTGATTGAAGCCCATTCATCTGTTAGAATGCATAGTCAAAGTCCAGCTGACTTTGACTATGCTAACTAGCCAATGATGGCGGATTAACTTAGTTGTTTCTCCTCCATTAGTGCAGCAGTAGTATGTAGACAAGCTTGATTGGTAGCACTAAGACCCACCTCCTGGTTCTGACGGGTTAATTGTGACTGCAGATGGCGATAGGGCCATAGAAAGGAAGCAGAGGAGCTCGATTTTTTCACAAATAATGTGTGACAATATCACAATATCATGAAAACTACATAGTGCAGCTTTAATTAGAAACAGAAGACTCTGGAAGAGCTGCAGAGATTCACTTTACAGATGGGAAAATGTGTCAAAAACTGCGCTTTTATTTGTGCAGTGGACGAAAGCCATGTAGGGGCCACTAAATGCACCCTACATGCAAAAGCCGCATGTGTCAGGAAGACGAACGCCGCACATCACCCCAAAACACACTTTCCACTCAGTGAAAGACAGCATTGCCGTGGGGATTCTTTTCTCCAGCAGGGACAGGGAGGCTGAGCTGCTAGGAAGATGGATGAAGCTAAGTACAGGGCAATCCCAGATGAAAACCTTATTTCACACTTTTTCTTTTTTTTGTAAAAAGGCTTCTACATCACAAAAGGTAGAGGTTTTTTTCTTTTCTTTTCTTTTTTACTTACCCGTCCAATGAGCACAGGTTCTGGACCGGCATATTCTTCGATCACAAAGAACTGGTTCCAGATCCAGCTCCTCCTGCTGCGAGAGCGCGACCGCCTCCCCTCCGCAGGCCGCTGCGCCTCCCGCTCGCCGTCCGACTCCGACGCCTCTTCGAACACGAGGCCATTTCCATTTACCGGGTCAGCGGCTTGGAGTTCGGCTTCTTTCGCGCCGTGGCTCCACCTGGGAGCGGGCTGGAGCCTCAGGACATGGCTGCTGTTGACAAGTTTGTAGTCTTCATCTGCGAGAAACTTGGCAGGATTGGTTTTAGCGGCGCGAGCTGACTCCGTTAATGGGTCTCGGCGGGAATCTGCTGCTCTGTTCCCTCCTCTTGCTCCCAGGGGTTGCACCGTCAGCACAGATGGAGGAGAATCGTTTGTCTCTGGAAGAACATACACAGGCAGACGCTTCGTCGATGTAAACGGCGGCTCCGTTTGGCCGATTATCGCCTCTTTCTCGGGGCCGAGGCCGACCTCGCCGCGAGGCGTCGACAGGGAACGAGCGAGGTGTTTGCTCTTGTTATCACCACCGTCAGAGCTCGGTGTTCCCAAGCTGTCTTGCCCTCTGCTTAAAGCCGGCTTGGCGTTGCTCGGCGGATTAATATGAGTAGCCGCGTTCTGGCGGGGGTAGAGATCTGGGCTGGGAACCGTGCTCGCATATGGAAATGCGGTCTGATTATCGAATCCAGCGTGAGGCTGAACGGCAGCCATATCTTGTCTCGGCTCCTTCTGAGTCTCTAATTGCTCGTGATTAACGTCAATCAAGTCTCTCTTCCTGCTCCGGCTGCCCTTGCTCGGAAAGCCGAGGCCGGAAACTTTCTGCATTTGGGAATTGACAATCCTGACTAAGTTATCTTTCGACAGCAGCTTCAGCACGCCGTAACCACCGGTGAGGTTGAGCTTTCTGCTTGAGTCCACGCTGAACCCTTTCCCGGGCATACCTGTGGTGTGAGCGCTCAGATCGGCCCTGCTCCGAGACCTTGACCCGGACTTGACCCTGGTTTTATTGGAATGCGTTTCCACCTTGTGATGGACAAACGTTTTCTCCGACCACACTGTGTTGGAAGTCTCTGCGCTTCTTGTGCTGTTTTTAACTCTCCTCATCTCCAGGTTTAACACCTTGTTGCTGGACAACATTGTCGGCATCCTGTCTTTCCTACTGACGGAGTCCACCTCACGCTTGGGCTTGATGGACTGCCTCTCCTTGTTACTCAAAACCATTTTGGCGTAAGGGAATCTGGAGTCGCTCTGCTGCTCGCGACTTATCAGGTTCCTCAAAGTGACCATGGGCATTGCGTTTGAATCCTCGCCGTCGCCCCATTGGTCTGCAGGTTTGCTCTCCCCTCGCCAGGCCATGTGCGACCCGGCCACTCCTCTCCTGTGTACCACCTTGCTCGCCGAGGCTCCTCCCAGAAGAACCTCCCAAAGGGACAAGAACCCCAGCTTTCTGCAATCTCTTGAAGGACTCTCGCCTCGCACGGTGTTGACTGCTCTTTTTGTTTTCTGACTGTCTTCATTCTCTTTTGCTTTCACCTCATCCCCCTCCCCTCACTCTCCCATCCTTTGCCCTTCACGCAGAGCTGGAGGGCAGGTGTCAATCACGTCCTCCTCTTTCGTCAATGCGGTCCGATATCGCCGTCTATCTCACAAAGCCTCCGCGAGCTGTTTGTCTTCTCTCTCCCCGTCTCCTCCCTGGTGAAGCATCTCATTCAGGTTCCCGCGGAGACTCGAAGACCCTGGGAGAAAAGATAAAGATAATTAAGTCAAAACTTTAATCATTGCGCCGCGTTAATTAAAAATGGAGCCACGCAGACAGGTAGGACAATTCACAGGCAGGCCGGGGGAGACCTTTTAACACGGCGACAATCGCGTTTCTGCCAGCATAATGAGGATTTTAAACTCTGAGCATGTTTCTATTTATACCCCCATAATGGTACACATTTCACTTCTTTTACTGGGGAGGCCCAGTTTTGTCATCAATCTATTATCTATCATCTATTATGCTTTCAGTTTGTTGTCGAAGTACCGACAGAAGCGACGAGGGAGGTAATAATCAGAAAACACAATATGATTCATTTTGTAATTGTCAGGGCCCTTTTTTTTTATTTCTATGAACGGCAAAAAAAAAATTGTGGAGGGCCCCCTGTCGGTCAGGGGCCCCTGGAATTGTCTTAACTTTCCCCCCCTCCCAATACGACTAGACATTCGTCCTCAGTGAGGTATCAATTATGTCTGCCTACACATCTGACAAGCCAATATAGTCGCTATTTGCCAGATCGCATTAACATAACAAGTTTTTCTTTGATTCCTCGTGGAGACAAACATGGATTTGTAATGCAAGAAAACTCAGAATTCGGCGTCACTGATTTAGTCAAACGCTTCCATGATATTGCGGAGCTCGCAGGAGATTTGGCACGACTGAAATAAATACACGTGGACACACACACGCATACATATCTACAAAAGTAACCCAATAAATAAAATAAATAGCTCTGGGTAAAGACAGTGAATATGAAATGAGTCGTCTTCACTAAGGCTGCACAGTGTCAGGACAATGTTTCACTGCGACACTATTTGTGAAAATGCGATCAACTCTCTTTTTGAGGAAACGTTTCCTTCCGTCCAGTTACGTAATGTCCCCACGACTCTCTGCGAGCCACAGATGCTGAAAACACGTGAAGTCGCAGTCCATTCATGGATTCATGTGGTGGATTTATAGAGCAGGAACTCATAAAATGTTGCATTTTTGCAAACGATGCTGCACAATTATGATGCTTGTGATTGCAGTTACCTGCACCTCCTGTCGTCTCATTATCTCTGCGTGCAATGTCACAGTTATGAAGAACTGATTGGATATTTGTATTTGCAATGTGTAGGAAGCGACAACTCAGGAATCTCTGAGTGTGTGTGATTTTGATTCAAGGTACTCCTTTTACTTTTCAAAAGCAAATATCCAACTTTTGACTCTTGAATTCAGGGGAGAGGTCCAGTAGCCTTCGTGAAATGACCCGGTCAGCAGTGTGAAGCAGGACTAGTGGCGTTTCCATTGATTATGTAACTGTGCATTTTCACGTTTTTGAAACGGAAATGGAAACACAGCAACTTTGAAACAAGAAAACAACTTATTTTGGGTAAGTTTTGGCTCTTGGATAATGGAGTTTGTTTTTTTTTGGCATCTCATTAAACTGACCTGCACGCCGTCTCGTTACATTTAAATGATCAAATGGAAAAAATCTTTTTTGAACACCTTAATTCTGGCCACTGAGTCAGTGTCTATCTGCACGCAGTGACTCACTGTCGCTGCGTTGGCGCCCTTTTTCTGAGGACAAATCTTTCCACTTGTGGACAGCGAACCTGAACACACATCAATGATGGAACCATAAAAAAAAGACTAAAAACCCAACAAAAATCCGTTCATTTCCCGAGTTCATTCGTCCATATTTCTCTCCTTTTCTCCTGTTGTCTTTGTGTATCTGTCCCAGACGGCCACTCAGACTAAATTCGGGGCTTCACATAAAATCTGATAATGTGGCAGGGGCCGTGTGGAGGTGTGGACGTTTTTATAATCGTGCTTTAGCACCGGGAAACAATCAATAACTAGCCTTTTATTGGCTCTGATTTACAGCTTAGTCTCGCAACTATTCCACCTGAATAGTCGCGTGTGTGTTCAAGGAGGCGGAGGAAAGGGCCGTGATTGGCTGCTGCATCTGCAAACCGCAAGCGAAAACCGTGGATTAGTCTGACCTCACAAGCGAAAGGTCAAAACAGAGGCGCTGGCGACTGATAAGTCTGTGCTGTGAAATCTTTGATCGGACTCCTTTTCCCTGCGGCAGATGAACGCCTCTGGCTTTTAAAACCTGCTTTAATGCGGATTCATTTGCTCCGGAGCGAACCGGACACGACTCGATTCTACGTTCTCAATGCTCGAGCTTGGCGTTGGCTTGTGGATCTGAATTTATCGTTTGTGTACTTTGTAAAACCCCCGAGTGTCACGGATTACGCGGCGCCGGTTTCACTTTATCCGGCAGAGTGACACTTGCTCTCCCGTCTTCGCCGCAGACGGACCCTGTCAGCACATTCGCTGGGGCGAGACTGAAGTCGGCAGGCTCCCCCTGGAACACTTGCTCACGGCCTCCTGCTTTTTGCACTCCCTCGCAAAAATCTCTTTACAATCCCTCAAATGTCTTTTGTTGTTTTGTTGCACTGCGATCATAAATTCTGATGCATTTTTATTGAGATTTTCCAGGCTAAGACCAAGGATTATTTTACTTATGGATTACTCAGTCAATTACACTAATTAACCAATTAATTTAATAAAATATCTGGCACATTAAAAGTTCTTCAGTAAACTACTTAAGATTATTTTATACAATATCAGAAACACCTAAAAAAGTTGAAATAAATAAAAGAATTATTTAAAAAAAAGAGAAAATAAACATTTTGTTGCCTAAACGCGACAGTAAAGCATTTTTTTGTGCAATTGATCATTTGTAGTAAAGAATGCAGGCGTGCAACATCAAGGTTTTGTTTTTTGTACCAACTTTGAATCATGTGGAGCTAAAACTGGCACTTCAGAAGTTCAAGGTAAAATATTTTTACAGACAAAGTAGTTTGTTTTTTTTTATCTTAAATACAAAACGTATCCATTTCTAAATAGTTCTGGCATTATTTCTGCTCTGAAGGTGTTTCTTAAGCAATGAGCCTTTTCTCCAGCCTATATGCTCCAATGAAGAATTAATACATTAATAAATCAGTCGACAATTATTTCAATAATCCACTCATGGTGATTGACCCAGTTAACAGTTTCAGATTTTATAACCTTGACAACGTCAAAGTAAAGCGGAAAAGAAACATTCGTGTTCAGTTCTGTTTCCAGAGTTACTCAAAAATAAAAAGTTATGGCAAAACTACACGGACAAGGCCCTCGATCCACGCTGACAGCAGACAGACCATTAATATGAGAAGCACATAAAGGCCTTCGGGGATTTCAGATCGCAGAAAAAACCAAAGGGTCGCAGCGGCCCCATCACACGCTGATGAAACGTACAAATTCATTCTGTTCTATTTAGCAACCCTCACTTTCCAAACTTGCTCAAGTCAAGAAGAATAAAGCTCTTCATAAAACTGCATACAGAGCTTAAGTCCAGCAATCTGCTCTGCCGACTCTTGAATAAAACTCGCCCGGTACGTGTTGAAGGAGCCAAAGTTGCTCCTGGAGTGAAAGGGAACCTGGTCAGAGTAAACGCAACAAGGGACAAAACTAAACACAGAACTTTGACGAAAGAAAACTTGTTCGATGACTGAAGCTCTCCATTCAGTCTGATTGAGCTTATGCTGGTTTCTACAGAAGACCCAAACAAAAACGCAGAGACATTGCCCACCAAAGACACTTGGAATTGGATGCAAAAAAAATATAGATCTGGAAAAAGTTGCTGCTTCACCGCAGCGTCACATCTTTATGTCTTCTGGAGAGGAAAGGTTCAAACGAAGAGAGTCTGAATCAGCTTTTCGATGCGTGTTAAGAGTTCTGTCCATAAATGGGACGAAATAAGGCAGAAAGCTTTCTCTGGTGATGGGCTGCGGGCGGCTCAAACCTGTGACCGAGATCCAACCAGCAGACCGGACAGCAGGAGCAATATGAGAACGGATGCATTTCTCTGTCTCTTACTCACAGAAACAGCAGCCCTGGGACCGCTGCCCAGCAAAACCTGTAGCTAAATACTGAAATGGACTTTATAAATCAGCACACACCTGACTCAGGGGGAGAAAATCTCACTGAGTTTTAAACTTTAAGCCACAAAGACACCAATGTTGTTTCATAAGCTGCTAGATGAGTGGTTTATATCCAGTGGGCACGCATTCATCTGACAGAAAATTGCATTCCTTCTGTGTGATGGGAATTTATTTTCCCCCCCTGTACTGGGTGAAAACGACGTGGCAACCTTATTTTCCCCAGTTTGCCAGCCTATTTTACAACATAATCAGGTGTCTGTGTTTCCGTCTGCTCATCCATGCCGATGGAAAGGATTGGTGCCAGAAGCCGAGTGAACCCCCAGAGAGGTCACCAGTCAATTGTAGAGCAACACAAAAAGCACTTCTCTCTTCAGATTTGCAAATCCCTTAAAAACCGAGCGTCCATTCCTCTTCTATTTTACACCGACTGCAAGGCAAAACTCTTTTGGTGAAAGAAAAAAAAACCCACCTCTCCCACTCACCACCTGTTCCTTCTATCTCTGTAAATATCCCTCGATCCACCCCTCTCCTCATGCTTGCTCTTGTTTAGCTTTCTGTCCTCGTCGCTGCTCGATTCCGTCCTCTTTTCTTCCGTCTCATCCGTGTCAATCACTAGCCTGTCACCACGTCCCTCACCCTCTGTGCACTCGGCCCTCAATCAATTGGCCAATCCTCTTCCCTTCCTTTCCCTTCCCCGGT